GGGGGCTGCCAAATCCCAGTGGTGCTTCTAGTAAAAAGACAAACCTATGGCCTGGGCAGCCTGTGTGTAGGGTTGTGACTACAATTCCCAGTGTGCCCACAACTGCCGTTTCATCATTTGCTTGTCACTACAGGATTTTGAGAGGCAAAAGTGATAAAATGGTATGGTGATATCTTTTGGTTCAAGCATAAATTGAATTTAAGTGAAACAGAGTTGCAGAAAGTTGTCAGTCTCACTCTCTCTTCCAGAGTCATCAAAGTCCAATGGCAGGACAAAGTCAAGAGAACTGGTGATGGCTCAGGATGCAATGGATGACCTTGGCGTCTTTGATGTCTAACCGAGCTCTAAGTGCTCCACAGTGTGTTCATGGCCATTGGAACAAACTGTTCTCATCTACCCATTCTGCAGAAGTCTTCACATGCTTGGGGTAGATACCTCCCAACTCACCGAAGGGTTTGAGACCCCTGGGCTACCCACTACTCTGCCGAAATGCTTTATGAGGTGTGGCCACTGCACATGCTACAGCTTCTTGAAGTCACAGATGAGAGCTGAGTGAATCAGGTATACACCAAAGGTGGAAAGCAGCAGCCCTCATACCAGAGACACTAGTCTTCCCTGAACACACCTGATACCCTGCTAAGCACTAGAAATACAAGAAAAGCAAAAACTAAATTAAGATAAAATAAAATAAATAAAACCCAACCCACAATCCCTCCTCTCAAGAAACTTACTTTCTAATGGGGAAGACAATATATAAATATCTAGGTATATACAAAATATATACAGAGTCTGTAGGGGAAGGCAATAGCAGCTTCAGGAACCAGGAAAGGTCTCCTGAAGGAAGTGGGATTTGAGCTGCGTTTTGAAGGAAGCTAGGGAAATTACAGGCAGCTTAATTAATTTGGGCAGCTAGATGGTACAGTGGATAGAGTTTGGGGTCTAGAGTCAAGAAGACTCATCTTCTTGAGTTCAAATGCAGCCTCAGATAATTCCTGTGTAACCCTGGGCAAGCCACTTACCCATTACTTAACCATGAGTTTCCTCATCTGTAAAATGAGCTGGAGAAGGAAATGACAAACCACTCCAGTATCTTTTTCAAGAAAATTCCAAATGGAGTCATGAAGAGTTGTTCATGACTGAAACGACTGAACAACAAGGGTAATTAAGAGGGGGTAGATCGCTCCAAGCATTGGTGATAGCCAGCTCAAAGACACAGGAGATTAAGTGACATGTTTCAGGAGCAGTAAGAAGGACAGTATAACTGGATCATATAGTGAGGAAGGGTATCAGGTATAAGAAGCCCAGAGAGGTAGGAAGGGACTAGGCTATAGAGAGCTTTAATTGCCAATCAGAGTTTATATTTGATCCTACAGAAAGTAGGGAGTCACTGGGTGGCTCTTTGTGCGCAGGAATGACACGACCAGAGATATAATTTAGAAAAACTATCTTGGCAGCTGAGTGAAGTATGGACTGGAGTGGGGAGAGATTTGAGGGAATGAGATTACTTAGAAGGCTATTTCCATAGTCCAGGAGAGAGGTGAGGAGCACCTAACTAAGGTCCTGGCTGTATGAGTGGAAAAAAACAGGTTGTATATGAGAGATGTTGTGAAGGTAGAAATAAGATTTGGCAAAGGATTAGATGTGTGGGGTGAATGAAATGTGAGTATAACACCAAGTTTTAGAGCCCGAGTAAGTGGGAGGATAGTGGCACTCTTCTTGACAATGATAGATCAGTTAGTCAACAAATATTTATTAAGCACCTATTTGTGCCAAGTACTGTACTAAGTTCTAGGAAGTTCAGAATGGGAGGGCTTAGAAGGAAAGAGAATGAATTCTGTTTTGGACAAGATGAGTATGAAATGCCTATAGGACCTCCAGTTCTATACGCCCAAAAGGCAGTTGGAGATGTGTAATTGTGTTGTTATGTCATTTTAATCATGTCTGACTCTTCATGGCCTCATTTTGATATTTTCTTGGCAAAGATATTGGAGGGGTCTGCCATTTCATTCTCTAGCTCATTTTACAGAAGAGTAACTGAGACAAACAAGGTTAAGTGACTTGTCCAGGGTCACACAGCTAGTAAATGTCTGAGATTGGATTTGAACTCTTGAAGAAGAGTCTCCCTGATTCCAAGCCTAGTGGTCTATCTACTGTGCCACTTACCTGGCCTGAATGGGTGATTATAGCTCAGCAGAAACACTAGGGCTAGATAGATCTGGGAATTTGCTGCATAGACATAACTGAACCCACAAGAGTTGATAAAATCAAGCCACCCCCTTTTAGAGGGTGTCACATGGATGAAGAACCAGCAAAGCAGAATGAAGAGCAGTTGGACAGATAAGAGGAGAGCCAATCTAATTCTTCTTTACAACTTCACTAATGTGAAAATATGTTTAATATGAATGTCTACATACAGCCTATATCAGATGGCATATTGTCTCGGGGAAGGGGGAAGGGAGGGAGGTGGAGAAAATTTAAAACTCAAAAGATTATGGACGTAAATGTTGAAAACTAAAAATAAATAAATAAATTTTTTTTTTAAAAAAAAAGAGGGGAACCAAGAAAGTCGTGAAAACCTAGAAAGGAGAAAATATTCGGAAAGAGGTGATCCAAATGCTGTGGAGAGATCAAGAAGACCAAGGATTAAGAAGAGGCCATTAGGTTTGGCTATTAAGAGATCACTAGTGACTTTGGAGAGTGTTTTGGTTAATTGATGATGTTGGTAATGTACAGGGTCACACGGGGGGGGGGGCACTTTTTAGTACTACTTCAAATAAATCTACAGTTATCCCCTCCATATCATGGGTGTAAGGGTTGTGGCACCCCCTCGATCTTGAAAATTTGTGTAAAATTTTTTGGCCCTCCCTTTGCACCAGAGAAGAAGTCTGAATTTATTATGGTATTAAAAGATAAAATATGTTGATATTATATAATACTAAGCATATATTTTAGGCATTTCTGAGTTTCTAAACTTTTTCTGTGTCATCTACAGGCCTTCTTTCACATGTTGTCTGTAACTTCTGCAAAACTCCCCCAAAATTCCCATTTAACTTCTTATGCTGACCCATGATATTGAAACCATGATGGGAAAAGTCACAGCATGGAAAGGATAATAATTGTACATATTTTAAAAGTCAGAGGCAGCTCAGTGTAGTAGATGAAATGCTGAGGTCGAAGTTAAGAAAACCTTGGTGCAAATTCTCCCTCTGACAGTTAATGTGTAATCCAGGATAAGTCACTTAACCTTCCTTTTTTTCCTCAAATAATTCCCTAGAACGGAGGGATTTTCAACATAAGAAATTTTTCATGCTAATGAAATCATAGTTTTTCAGGATTTTGAATAATAATAATAACTATCATATATATAGCATTTTGAAGTTTCAAAGCACTTTAAAAATAATACCTCAGGGCAGCTAGGTGGCACAGTGGATAGAGCACTGGCCCTGGAATCAGGACCTGAGTTCAAATCTAGCCTCTGACACATAATACTCACTAGCTGTGTGACTGTGGGAAAGTCACTTAACCCCAATTGCCTCACCAAAAATAATAATATCTCATTTTATCTTCACAACAACCAAGAGAAGTAAGTGCTATTATGAAGAAACTGAGGCAGCAGAGGTAAAGTAATTTGCCCAGGATCTGAGGCCAATTTTAATTCGGGTCTTCCTGACTCTAGGCCCAGTATTCTATCCATTGTGCCACTCACTTTTTTTTTTTTTTTTTTACTTTTTAGCTAGACAATCAGAGTTAAGTGACTTGACCAGGGCCACATAGCTAGCAAGTATTAAGTGTCTGAGTCTGGATTTGAACTCAGGTCCTCCTGACTCCAAGGCCAGAGCTCTATCCACTGTGCCACCTAGCTGCCCCCTCTACCAACCACTTTTAATGTACAAGAATCCCTCTCATTATATGGTATAAGTATTTCTGTAATAAGTCAATTTGAATGTTCCCCTAGTAAAAAGGCTCAATGCCCCTGGGGGGACAAAAAACACAAGGGGCAAAGTTCAAATCATGCCTAGGGTACATAAATGCCATTTCTTGGTTCTACCTATGATTCACTTTGGAGCTATTGGGGTTGTGATGATAAAATTAGAAGAGAAAAAGGTCATAGAATGGAAACTGGAAAGAAAACAGTTAAGCAAAGAAACAATCATTTCAATGTGTCAGCCCTAGAGAAAAGAAAAAGCACTTCATGAAGTGACTGCACAGCAAATCATCTCTGTAGTGACACAAAATGTTCCATTTTTAAGTCTGAGTTTAGGGAAAGAGAGTTCCCTTTGTTGTAATGCATGCTCTTGCTTGCTGTGACTGATGTCATGTTATCCATATTAGAACCTTCTTCATGTTAACAAAGGCTCTTTGGAACAGGGAGATCTCAAGTAAGTTAGAAAATGTGCCCAACAACAGATGAAAATTTTGCCTCCTTTCAACACTCTTGTTTGATATGTTGACAGCCTGCTTGTCCAGGTTTTGGTCTAGCCATACTTCTTTAAAAAAAATTTTCTTTTATTAGTTATCAGTTTATGGGGACACCCATGAGGTGCAAACTGAAGCTATCAAAGTCCCTGGTGGGTATTTTAGCGCAGCTAAATCCAGATTAGTGCAAATAAGGAATCTTTTGAAGCAGTCATGTTATTGAAATTTGCACTATTTTTGGAGTGTAATGTATATGTGAAATATGGTAATTGGTTTCAGTCCAATATGCAATGTGACTCCAAATATTTTGACTACTTTATGGGATTCACTGGACTGAGTTGTATACTCAGTATAGCTGAGTTTCGGATAGCCCCATCCCTGACCTTCTAAAGAGAAATAGTAAATATCAGATGATTCGTGACCTTTCTCCCTTTTCTCTGCTCCTTTCCTTTTCCTTCTTAGAGGTATTATCAAGTGTGGGAATGGAATGACCTTTAGTGATCAGGAAGTGCCTGGTGAAGAAGCTGGTGAAAGAAATTAAGGAAATACAAAACAGGAGAATAGAGTCAAGGATTAGTCTTTTTTTCTACCTTTTCTTTCATGAGCCTGGGAGCAGGACTAAACTATTTGAGACCAGGAGACAGGTATGTCCTTTCTACCCCTCCTGTCTGTGTTGCTTGCTTGCTTTGTGTAAATAAGACACATCTTCCAAACGGAAGAGAGACTGAAGGGGAGGAAAACGTGAGTCAAGGAGGTCAAACAAATGAACATGAACCATCGGCAACAGTCCAAGTGTGAGTTGGTGGGTGGTGGCAGCGTCAAGGGAGGGAAGGAAACACAGGTAAGAAATGATGTGAAGGTAGAATCAACAAGGCTTGGCCACAGTGAGTCAGTCAATCAACAAGCATTTATTATGGGTGCCAGGAACTGGTCTATGTGCTAGAGATACAAAGAAGGGCAAAAAGATGTCCCCCTCCCCTCAAGGAACTCACATTCTAAAGGGAGAGACAATAGATTGCATGTGGGGTAGGGGTGAGAGGGAATGAGGAGTCAAGGATAACATCTAGGACGAGAGCCCCAGTGATTGAGAAGATTTTGTTGTTGTTTAGTCATTTCGGTTGTGTCTGACTCTTTGTGACCCCCTTTGGGGTTTTCTTGGTAAAGATACTGGAATGGTTTAGCTATTTCCTTCTCCAGCTCATTTTAGAGATGAGGAAACTGAGGCAAACAAGGTTAAGTGACTTGCTCAGGGTCACACAGCTAGTAAGTATCTGAGACCAGATTTGAATTCAAGTCTTCCTGACTCCAGGCCCAGTGCTCTATATAGCTACCTACCCTGTTTGAGAGGATAGCCCTTAGCAGTAATGGCTAAGTTAGGAAGAGGGTTTGAGCAGGGGAAGAAAATGAATTCAGTTTTGGACACCTTGAGTTGATGTTGTCTGGAAGACATCAAGTTCAAGATGCCCATTTTGGCAGCTGGGTAGAAGAATGAACTAGAGTCAGGAGAGACTTTAGACAGAACACTGATTAGAAGATTATTACAATAGTCTGAGTGAGAGGCGAGGAGGGTCTCTGTGAGGATAGTGGCTATGTGAATAGAGGGAAAGAACGTATTCTGGAGATCTGACAATAGACTTGATATATAGGGAAAGTGAGATTGAGAAGTCAAGAATGACACTGAGATGGAAAGCCTTGGGAGGATGGCGGTACTCTGGATAGTAATAGGGAAGTTTGGATGATGGGAGAGTTTTAAGGGAAAGATACAGTTTTGAATATATTGAGTTTGAGTTGCTAACAGGACATCCAGTTTGGCACATCCAAAAGGCAGTTGGGTAATGTAGAACTAGAGCTTGAGAGTAACTAGAGCTCAAATATATGAATCTGGGAATCATCTAACTAGACATAATAACTGAACCCATGAGAAATGATGAGATCCATCACTGAGTAAGACAGTATAAAGAGAAAAAAGAGAAAATTGGGGCAGCTAGATGGTGCAGTGGATAGAACTCCAGGAGACCTGAGTCAGGAGGACCTGAGCTCAAATTCGGCCTCAGACACTTGACACTTATTAACTGTGTGACCCTGGGCAAGTCACTTAACCCTGATCACCTCACCAAAAAGCCAAGAAAAAAAGAAAAAGAAAGAAAAGAGAAAATAGCCTAAGACAGAGCTTTGGGAGGCACTCACAATTAAAGGGTATGACCTAGATGAAAATCCAGCAGAGACTACTGAAAAGGAGCAAAAATTACTAGCCTATGTCTCTTTCACTCGTTCCCTCCAATTCAATGGGTGAAGCGGAGGAGTTGGAACACTCCTTTTTCCCCAAAGCTATTTCCAGGTTTTCCTTCTACTACCTTCACTCAGCAACTTCTCCTCCTCTGAGGTTCATTCAATCCATATCTACCACCCAATAAAGATTCTGATAACTGGTGCTAGAGACCTCCAGCACTTTCTCCTTTCTTCCTCAGTGAGTTCAGTGTCTGACTCACAGTCTTTCTTCTCCTACTCCTGTCCTCATACTTGGGAACCCTCAAAGCATGTCACATTACTCAGATGCCTTCTGCCTCTATTCCTTTACCCCTGTTTCACATTGAGAAGTGGTCCTTCTCCTTGCCAAGGTAAATCCCAAGGGATCTCATTATATCCTGTCTTCTCCAGTAGATTCTTCTACATTTCCCTGTAGCATCCCTATTCTCTCACTAATCTTCTATCTCTTCCTGTATACCATGAACTTCCCTTCTGCCTACAAATACACCTGTATTTTCCCCATCCTCAAAAAAGTCCTCACTAATACAATGGAATACTATTGTGCTATAAGAAATGATGAACAGGCTGACTTCAGAAAAACCTGGAAAGACTTGTATGGTCTGATGCTGAGTGAAGTGAGCAGAACCAGGAGAATGTTGTACACAGTAACAGCCACGTTGTGTGATGACTAATATTGATAAATTTAACCCTTTCCAGCAATACAAGTATCTAAGACATCTCCAAAGGCCTCATGATGGAAAATGCTATCCACATCCAAAGAAAGAATTATGGAGTTTGAATGCACATCGAAGCATACTATTTGCTAGTTTTTTTTTCTTCTGTTGAGTTTTGTTTCCTCTTTCTGGTGGTTCCTCCTATTGGTTCTAATTCTTACTTACAACATCACTAATGTGAAAATATGTTTAATAGGAATTATATGTAGGGCCTATATCAGATTGTGTGCCATCTTTGGGAGGGTGGGGGGGAGGAAGGGGGAGAAAAATTTTAAACTCAAAAAGCATGTGAAAGTGATTGTTGATAAATCAAAATAAATTAATTTTTAAAAATTTGCAAAGAACTTTTTAAAAAAAAAAAGTCCTCACTAGATTCATCTGTCCCTGGGAGTTACCATTGTACATCTCTCCTCCCTTTTATAACTAAACTCTTTGAGATCACCATTTATGATATTTGATTCCACTTCCTTTCTTCCACTCTCCTCTTAATTCTTTACAGTTTGTCTCCTGATCTCATCATTCAGCTGGAAACTACTCTCTCCAAAATTACTAATTATCTCTTAATTTCCAAGACTAATCCTTTTTGACCTCTCTGCAACCTTTGACTATCAACAGCCCTCTTCTGGATACTCTCTTTTCTCTATGTTTTCATGACAATATTCTCTCCTGGTTCCCCTACTACCTGTTTGGGAGGTCTTTTGTTGACTCTTAATCCTTGCCTTGCCCACTGATTGTAGGGGTTCCCTAAGGCTTTGTTCTGGGTTCTCTCCTCCCTCTATATTATTTCACTTGGTGATCTCATTTCCCGTGGTTTCAATTATCATCTCTATGCAGATGATGGCCAACTAAGTGGTGTAATGGATAGAGTGCCAGGCCTAGAGCCAGAAAGACTTATATTCCTGAATTCAAATCTGGTCTCAGATACTCACCAGTTGTGTGATCCCAGGCAAGTCACTTGACCTTGTTTGCCTCAGTTTCTTCATTTCTAAAATGAGCTGGAGAAAGAAATGGCAAACCACTCCAGTATCTTTGCCAAAAAAATCCCAAATAGAGCCACAGAGAATCAGACATGACTGAAATGACTGAACAACAACTATATGCAGATGACTCTTAGATCTATTTATACTCTGTGCTGACCCTGGAAAGTAGACTGAGAAAGAAAGAAGTGCAGAGGCCAGGAGTAGTAGAAGCAATGTGGCTCAGATGCCAGGAAGATCCCAGGCTCACTTCTAGTGTCTAGTTCCATCTGCAGAATAATAACAAGGGTGGGAATCCCAGACCAAATAAGAAATCATTTCCTCCTCATTTGATGAAAAATAAATTTAGAGAAAACAGAACAACAAATGCAATTACTAGAAATATGTAAATGATCATTAAAACAACAACAATAAAAAGAGGGAAAATATAGTGAGGCAGATAGAACGTCAGAAGGGGACATGAAAATAGGATAATTTTGTTACCAATTTGTTAAAGATGATTTGTCATTTTTAAACAAAGAAATGGTGTGCAATTTTAAAAACTCCAAACTGATCTATTTAAATGACTTACATATTAGGAAAAATGGAATATGGGCAGAAGAAATTACATAGACATCAATTACAGCAATTTCATATAGAAGTTTGACTACTGGAATATGACGCAACCTTGTCTAGGCATGCCCAGATTACCTAACATGGAGGTGCCCAGATGGTCCAGATTGCCTAAACATGGAGGCCTCTGCATCCTCTACCACATGGCTAGGTAGAGCCTCTTTTCATTGGCTGGATAGTCAGAACAAACTTTAGCTTTAAAACTAGTGAGACTAAGACTGTCCCTCTTTGTCTTTCCTTCCTGTTCTCCATCCAGAGGGTGAAGATCTCATTTCATCCTCAGGGCAGACACCATGAACTGAACCGGTGAGAGAGGAAGAACTTCCTTCCCCTGCTCTGAGAAATGTGTCTGGGGTCTCTAGGCTATGTTCTTTGTCCTTCTCAGTTTCTAGGTGCTGATGGTGATCCCCACAAGCCCTGGGAGTTGGAGCCAGGATCCTAGGTGAGATGGTGCAGCTAGCCAGAAGAAGCCTTGCCAGACTTGGAACTGGGACTATGGGCTCTTTAGGAACGGAGATAAGCTATGAACTAAATCCTCTCCTTTTCCTGCCCCAGAGACTGAGGTGGTGCAAGGGCAGAGAGACATTATGCTTCCCATGTGTTGGAGAAATGTATTTGTATATTTATTATAATATCTTTTTAACTAAATATCCCTTTGTAAAAGCTACTCCAGGAGCTAAATGGAAATGGGGTGCAGGCCACCCTTTATACTTGGGGAAACATCATCAGTGAGGCCTGGAGACACTTGCAAAGAGCACAGACACCCTAAAGCTCCCTAATGGTACCTGAGAACCCCTGGGAAAAGGGTGAAATGTAACACACCTGGCCTTCTGATGATGAGGTTCAGGGTCAGTATTGTTGGTAGAAAGAGCACTGGCTTTGCCGTCAGGGAAAATGGGTTCATACCTTGCCTCTGTTACTTATTATAGTTGTGATGCTAGGCAAATCATTGAACCATCCTAAGTCTCAGTTTCCTCAACTGTAAAATGAAGAAATGTAAAATGAGTCCAAACTAGTTGCTTCTGGGGTGCCTAAACTAGCTCTTGACCAGTCTTCCAACCTATGATTCAGGGTAAATTAATTGCTATACCAAAGGAAACCAAAAGAAACTAAGTAAGCAAATTCTCGACTTACTTGCCAAGCAGATAGGGAGCCAAGAGAAACATTGGCTTAAGATATGAATTTGATTATAAAATCTTATGGAGCAGAATTAATAAATCAACAAGGATTTATTAAGCACCTATTACGTGCCAGGCATGGTGCTAGTCAATGGGGATACAAAAACAAATGAAGCAGTCTCTGCCCTGGAGGAATTTACATTCAATCAAGACGGACAACATATACATATATAGTCTAGCAGTGACCATCCCCATGGAGCATTCATGTGGATAGGCCTCTGCTCTGGCCCCTTCCAGGGGAATCTTTGATAAAAAGTGTGTTTAACCAGTTGCTTCTAATTTGGTCCCCATGTTTACATCCCCCACCGTGGAAATGGAGGATATATCCAACAGGATTGGCCCCTAAAGAGGAAGAGCCATTCACTCAGTAGGCGTAAAAAGAAAAATAACTTATGCTATCTCTCTCTTTCTGGCTGTTGTGTATACTAGGGTTTTTTGAGACTCCGTTTGGACTTCCCACAAAGGGCGGAGAATTCCTTCGCCTGCATTGTAACTGTGGTAGCTGTTTAAAGATGGCAGCAGACACGTGTACTGACTAGGTAAGCCAAGACTGGATTCTTCCCTGAATGCATGTGACCAAACAGCAATCAGGAGAGATGGACTTGTTGAGCCTGGTGGCTACTTTTGGGGTCCAAGAGTACCTGGAATCCCCCAACTGGTGCTTCCTGAAACCGCAACTCTCCCGAGGACATGACTTACCAACAGGAGAATAAAAGAAGCATGCCAGGCTGATAAGAAGATAGGTGTCTTGAATGAGTGGCTTAGACAGCACGTTGGAGATAAAAGTCTATTCATCTTTTAAGTATTTGTGTCATGCTTTAATTATTTGTTAGTGGACATTTATCTATCTTCCATTCAGCTACTAAAGTGATTTTCCTAAAGTGGAAATCTGACCATGTTACCACCTTGTTGTTGTTTGTCCTTCATTCTCAAAGAAGACCATGACTTCTGGAAGGGGATGCCATCACTTGCAAGTAAATTGGATTTGAGTGAGGGAGGGCTGTGCAAAATCACCAACTTCACTTTCTCCTCCTAAGCCATCTGGGTCCAGTGGCAAGGTATAGATTGTGACGACTGGAGATGGCCCCATTGCCACTCCCTGTGCAATAAATGTCTGTGGCTCCCTATTACCTCCAGGAGTAGACAAAATGCTCTGTTTAGCATTCAGTGCCTTTCATGACCTATCCCCTCCTACTTCTGTAGTCTTATGTCTTACTCCCCTAATGCCTATTCTTTCCAGTGACACTGGCCTCTCAGCTATTCAACAAGGAAAATATTCTATCTCTTGGCTCTGGGCATTTTTCTCTGGCTGTTCCCCATGCCCAGAATGTTTTCCCCACTCTGCTCTGACTAATGACCCCGCTGGCTTCAAGAGCCAACTAAAATCCCACCTTCTACAGGAAACCTTTCCCAAACCCTCTTAATTGTAGTGCTTTCCCTCTGTCCCTTATTTCCTGTTTATCCTGTATATAATTTGTATTTTTTTTTTTGCATATTGTCTCCCCTATTAGATTGTAAGATCCTTGAGAGCAAGGACTGCCTTTTGTCTCTTTTTGTGTTTCCAGTGTTTAGCGCAATGTCTGGCATATAGTAAGCGCTTAATAAATGTTGATCGATCAATTTTAAAATATTTTATTTTAAGCATTTATATTTCGATGTAGGAAATAGCTGTCCTATGCCTATTTTAAGTTTAACATTTAGTACCTAACAGGAATTGTGTTATTGAGGAGGTGAATCATAGGCCAAACTTTTTTTTTTTAACATACAAGTCCAAACTTTATTTAAAACTACATTTTAAGTTTAAAGTTACTAAACAAATCACAATGAAAAAATGAAAAAGGGAACCATGCAGCAAGCCTGGAATATGGGGAGAATCCCATCTCTGACATGTGACCTTTTGAAGAGAACTTCCCAGAGGCTCTGGAGTATGGTGGGATGAGCTAGAGAATGGAAGAGTACATTTTCCTTTTGGAAGATAAGCTTTCCCAGGATGGAACACATTCTGTGTGAGTTCAGAGCTGGGACTCCTTATTTCTAAAGGATGCATGCTATGGAGTCTTCTGGACCATGGGTCTTCACATAAGCATATACTAAATATATTCAACATAAATGCAAAGTAATGGGAGAGGGAGAGAGCACTAGCAATTTGGTAGATTAAGAAAGGCTTCATGTAGAAGACAGCCCTGGACCTGAGCTTGGAAAGACCCTAGGAATTCTAAGAAGCTGAGATGAGGAGCAGCCAATACAGAGGTATACTGTTTGGAAAGGGAGTGCCACGTTTGAGGAATAGCACGAGAGCCGACTTGGCTGGACTGATGAATGTGTAAAAGGAAATGATATATATTAAAGCCAGAAAGGTTAGTAGCAGCCGGGTCATAAAGGACTTTAAAAGCCCACCAGAGTATTATGTATTTGACCCTAGAAGTAATAAAGAGCTAGCAGAGCTTATAAAATAGAAGGCTACAAGCCTAGTTAGGCCTGTGTTTTAGGAAGATCACTTTGGCAGAAGGATGGTAGACAGTTACAAACAGTTATCACTTCTTTAACTAGAGAGAAGCAAGAAAGTTTGGGGAAGAGACCTAAGTGAAGTCATTCTGAGGGCATTTAAAAATGAACTCCAGGAGCAGCTAGGTGGTGCAATATACAGAGCACTGGCTCTGGAGTCAGGAGGACCTGAGTTCAAATTTAACCTCAGACACTTGACACTTAGTAGTTGTATGAACCTGAGCAAGTCACTTAAGCCCAATTGGTTTGCAAACAAAACGAAAACAAAAAATGAACTCTGGAGGACAACAGACAAAAAATGGAAAAGATCTAAAAAAGATGCTTTTTTAATTTTCTTCACCATCAAAGAAAGTGAAGTCACTATACTTAATAAGAAGGGAGAAATAGCACTAAAGAGAGCAAAGATGGGAAAAATAGATTTACTGGATGAAGTATACATCCATGCCAAAAGTTTCACTACTAGTTCTCATCAGTGAAACTCTGTGATTTTTCATCTTGAGAAGCTGAAGTAATAATAATAATAATAAATAGCTAATATTTATATTGGCAAGTAGGTGACTCAGTAGGTAGAGTGCTGGGTCTGGAGTCAGAATGACTCACCTTCTTCACTAAAATCCTTAGTTTCCTTATTCCTTAAATGGGGGAATAATATATTTAGTAACTACCTCTTACAGTGGTTATGAAGTTCAAATGATACAATGTGTATCAAACACTTTGCACATATTGTTATTATAGGACACACCAGAATAAATTCCAAAGGAGGGGGGGCAACTAGGTGGCGCAGTGGATAGAGCCTGGGCCCTGGAGTCAGGAGAACCTGAGTTCAAATCTAGCCTCAGACCAAACACTTGACACTTACTAGTTGTATGACCCTGGGCAAGTCACTTAACCCCAATTGCCTTAAAAAAAAAACAGAACTCCAAAGGGATTAACAAGTTAAACATTAAAAAAAAAAATAAAACCAAATATTACATTTATCACAATATGGAAGAGATAAATTCATATCTATTAACCACACAGAGGAAATTATTAACTATGAAATAGAAGGATTTAACAATATAAAGATAAAAATTCTTTATAGCAGAAAGTCAACACAATTAAGATGTTTTTAAAAAGCAACTGACGGACTTGGGGTGGAGGAAGCAAAACATGTGTGATTAATGCATCAAATAAAAACATAACATTCACAATTTCCAAGGAGATGAATCAGCGTGCTTTGGGTCTAATGGACAAATGGTCAGTGAATATGACAGATAATTTACAAAGGAAAAACTACAAATTGTGACTAATCTTTGAAAAAAGTTCAACCTCATGAATAATCAAAGAAAAGTAAATAAGTACAACTCTAAGTCCTTCCTCAAACCTACCAAGTTGGCCACTCCTTTGGCAGTGAGGGCTTTGTAGTAGTAACCCAATAGTGTTAGCTCGAATTCTAAATTAACTTTTCATTGACAGCATTTTTTCTAGTTTGATGACTTCTTTCTTGTATTAGCCTTCCCTTTGCCTTTTACTTCTCAATTTCACAGGCATTTTTTCCTTTTTTTTTTTTTGAGTGAATCTGTGATTTTATCCACGTAGGGAAAAATTCTCTCCACCTTGGAGATCACCATCTGCTCTGCAATTTTGTATCTCCCAGACTAGCTCTTTATTCAATGACTGCTACTCCATAGGCATTCTTCCTATGATTGGGGATTTTTAGGTAATCTTTTTTCTTTTTTTTTCCCCTTTCCCTCAGTCTCAATGGCTTCCTCCAAATTCTCACAAATCCATTAAGGAAAGTCTGCATAAAGTTTCTTTGCAACCAGAAGGAGGATCTGAAACTTCTGTAAGACAGTGTCAGAATCTCTGTTCAGATCAGTCTTTCTCATGTAGTAACTCTTCTTATCAAGCTTTCTTGTGATCCTCCTGTCCACTGCAGTGCCAGACTGGGGCCCAGGGCATCTAAGGAAATGTCGTCTTCCATCATTTTTATGCCCTGTACCTATTCCACATGCCTTCTCATCCTGCTTTTCCTACCTCACTCAAAGAGATGGGGAAGTAGAAAAGAAACAGGTAGGTAAATTAAGACTGCTCACCATCATAGCCACTTGACTGAAGTCTATTTGTGTGAGTGCTAGGAGTTTTAAAATGAGAAAGAAGGTATTCATCGGTTTTCCCCACACATTTCAACTCCTACATTTGGCAGCAAAGTCCAAATGGATGATTATTTAATAATTCATCATTTATAATAAAGAAGGGAAAAAGAGAAAAACCATGCATAAGACTTCCATGTCCAAATAAACCATAAGGGATATTCTGTAGAGAAGACTGAGGCCTTGGCAGGGCTGAAAGTAGAAGTGGAGTACTACAGTCTTCCAAGTCTGTATCCAGATAGGGGGAGTATCTTCTAAGACTGGCTTTCCAGCTTTTCCCTTTTTAACAAGAAAAGTCCCATCTCTGACAAGTGACATGTGAAGGCGTGTGTTAGGGACATGTATTAGAGATGCTTCCTCACATTTTCAGGGAATCTAGCATGGTGACTGCTGGGAAAGCACAGTGTTATCTATTACCTCCACTCCCAGATAAACATTTTGGGATATTTGAGCATTGTAATTAATTGAAGAAAGTGAAGGAGGAAGAAATGGAAATGAATGGGAAGAAAATCTGACTCATTCAGCCCATGACTGATTTGGGGCCTGTTCTCTTAGAAATATGAACTTGGTCTTACTGGCTAGGTGATCATAGATAAGTCACCTAATTTCCTCTAGTCTAGGTTTCCTCATCTGTGAAATGGGCATAATCATACTTATGCTATCTACCTAATAGGGTTGATAAAAGAAAAAAAAATTTTGTAGACCTAAAGTTCTGCTGTGAAGGCGTATTGTAGCATGGAGGTTCCCCTGAGTTCTCTAAAGGCTATAACACTGGTGTGTAAGCATTGATGTGTGTGATCAAGCTGGAAAGACTCCAAGTATAGGCTCAGTGTCAGGTTGTGTATCTGTCATCCAAAGACCAGCCTGGCTGGATTCAGAGAGGCTCATTGCTAGAAAATTAATGTGAATCACTAAGTGATGGGAGTCAAAGGCCAGAACAACTCTTGACACCATTTACTAAAGCCTTAGAAAGTTGCAGTTTATGAGGAAATATCCACACTGATGAAACTACACAGCCTTTGAAGTCTTGAAATGGTGATAGCAGTCTTGCTCCCCAGGGCACCTGATCCCAGGAAAAAACACAGAGCCAGAATATACACAGAATGAC